ACACAGAATTTTGGAAGTTTGTTAACATTTCCATCGATTTGCTCTTATAGAACATTTAATGCTACCTTAAGTTCTACGTATTTTAATACATTTTCATTGGACTCAAGGACTCTGGTACCCTATTTTTGAAAACATTCTACAAAAACATGTAAAAGTCATACAAATATTCACAAATTTTGTGCTGTAATTCTGCTTCTAAGTATTTATTCTAAGAGAGTAATCCAAATTGTGGGAAATCAATATTTTCTAAGACATTCTTTACAGAATATTTATACTACCAATATAATAAGGAAAATTCTGACATTAAGAAATATGTACAATTATATTATATCCATTCAATAGAATATGAGGGAAACATTTAAAATGATGTTTTAAAACTATAAGGAAATGTGAACAAGGATTAAGATATCTTAAGAAAATATAAGTGATACATATAAAAAGCATAAGTATCTCTCTTTTTTAAAATTCTATCAGAAAAAAAGTGACTGTTGTGTCTTTATATTGTAGAGGAATGCCTCATTTACTTTATGTTTACTTGTTCCATTTTTTTTTGTAACACCATTGCATTACTTTTAATGGAAAAAGTCTTAAATTTTATGTTCTGAAATATGAAGTATCAATACTGTTCAATTCATTCTATTCTGGCTAGCATTACCCTGATACCAAAACCTGATAAAGACATTACAAGAAAAAAATAAACTATAGACCAATATTCTTTATGTATATAGATGCAAGATGTCTAAACAAAATTTTCAAATCTAAGTCAGCAATTTATAAAATGGGTAATACATTATGACCAAGTATGATTTATCCCAGAAATGCAAAGTTGGTTTAATGTTCAAATATCAACCAATGTAACTAAGCATAATTTAAAAACTTTTACATTTTTAATATGATTATATCAATAGATGAAGAAAAAGCACTTGAGAAAAGGCAACATCCATTGTTTATAAAAACTCTCACTTGGTGGGAGGAGGGTGAGGGATAAAAAACTACATGTTGGTTACAATATACATTACTCTGGTGACCAGTGCCATAAAATCTCAGACTTCACCACTATACAATTCATGCATGTAACCAAAAAACACTTTTGCCCCAAATATATTGAAATAAAAGAGAGAATTTTTTAACTCTCACTAAACTGAAAATATGAAAGACTTTCCTTAATCAGATGCTGGGCATATCTACAAAAATCCTACAGCTAATATCACACTTAATAGTGAAAGACCAAATATACAAATACACTTTCCTTAAGGTGCAGACAATGAAAGAATGTCTGCTCTCTGTACATTTTGTTAACCTTGTACCATCAAATGTCCTAGCCAGTGGAACAAGGCAAGAAAAGGAAAATAGAAAATTGCAACTGTTTTTATTCATAAACAATATGTTTATTCAGAAAATTTTGGTGGGATCTCCCAAAAATGTTACCAAGTAAATTTAGCTTGGTTGCAGGATACAAGATCAATAAACAAAAATCAATTATATTTCTATCTACCATCAATGAAGAATCAGAAAGTAAAATTTTAAAAAAACAATACCATTTACAGTAGCTTTAAAGAATAAGAAATACTCAGGGATAAATTCACCTAATAAGTGTTAAGACCTGTACACTGAAAACTGCAAAAACATTTCTAGGAGAAATTTAAAGAAGACCTGAATAAATGAACCCCTTGTTCACGGGTCAGGAGAGTCAATATTGTTAATATATCAACTTTTCCTAAATCTATAGATTTACCAATCCCATTCAAAATTCCAGCAGGCTTTTTTATTTAAAAAAAAAAATAAGCTAATCATAATATTCATATGTAAATACAAATTATCTGGAAATGTCAAATCATTTAGAAAAATAAAAACAAAGTTAGAAGAGTAACAGTACCTGATTCAACATTTATTATAAAGCCAAAATAATCAAGACTGTGCTATTGGTGTAAAGACAAACAAATACATCAATGGGTCAGAACTGTGAATCTAGAAATAAATCCACATATATACGGTCAACTAATTTGCAAGAAAGGCACAAAGTCAATTCAGTGGGAAAAGGATAGTCTTTTTTAACAATGGTGCTGGAACAATTGGAGATATATATATGTGTGTGTGTGTGTGTATGTGTGTGTGTATATGCAAAAAATATACTATCCATGCCTTGCACTGCATATGAAATTTAACTGTAAAAGAATTATATACCTAAATGTAAATCCTAAAACTATACAAATTATAGAAGATTTTACATGAAACAATCTTTGTGACCTATGGTTAGGAAAATATTTCTTAGCTATGAACACCAAGAGCACAATCCATAAAAGAAAAAATAGGTAAATTATACTTTAACAAAATTGAAACCTTCTGCTATTTTAAGACATTGTTAAAGCCACAGACTTTCAAAGCCACAAACCATGAAAAAATATCTTCAAAGTATATATCTGACAAAAGACTGACATTTAGAATGTATAAAGAGCTCTCAACACTTAAAAGTGAGAAAACAGATACCTCAATTAAGAAACAAGCAAATGATTTAAACAGAGTTCACAAAAAAGGATGGCAAATAAGCACATGAAAAGTTGCTCAACATCGTTAGTCATTAGAAATATTCAATGAAATATTCAATGAAAACCACAATGAGGTACCATTACTACCTTAGGCTAGCAAAAATTATTAAGGTTTATTGTTCCAAGTGTTGTTGAGGATAAGGAGGAACTGGAAATCTTGTAAACTTCAGATGAGAATGTAAAATGGTTCAACCATTTTAGAAGATAGTTTGGCAGTTGCTTAAAAGGAGGAACATATATGACCAATGAGTCACACAGTCCAGCTATTCCTCTCCTAGGTACATACTCACAAGAGTTAAAAGCATATGTTGTGGAGGTCTTCAAGATGGCTGACTAGAGGACTCTTGCACCCATCTTCTCCACAAAGAAGAACTAAAATAGTAAGTAGATAATCACTCTTTGAATAGATAATCTAACAGAGAACACTGAAATTCAACAAAGAACTAAGAAGAAACACCTAAAGCAAGAAAGAAGTGGAAAGGGAGGCAGCCTGCTTGACCAGGATTGGCTATGAGCCTTGAGAGGCTGCCCATTGTGGGAAAAAGGTATGAAATCCCCGGTAGTCCACATTCCCACCATGGACTCCTGAAATCCTAGCACAGGTAATCCCTTCAATCCTTCTAGGCCCTGAGAATAATATGGGAAGCTGTGTGGAGACTACACAAAAGCATTGCTCCAGAGAGGGGGATTGTGCTGGGCCTCACACCACCACAGAGTTCTAAGTAGCTACAGGAAGGTGTCATTTTGAGAGCCTGGCCCCACCTCACTGCATCCTCCCCTGGACCTCCAGAGCCCCTATGTCTCCACATCGCTGAATCCCCATTGATACCTCCTGTCTGCAGCCACTCTTGTGGCTGGCTGCTGCCACCAGTGCCAAAGCTTAAGCCCTTGGCAGTGACCCTGCCTCCCCCAGCAGTGGAGTCACCCTGCATTTTCACTTGCCCTGAGAACAGACTCACCTGCCTGCAGCCACTGCTGCTATGGGATTCTACTGCTAGATCCAAAACATGAGGGAAGTGCATGCTTTCCAGCCACCTGCCTACAACTGGTGCCACTGAAAGCAACCCCATCTGCCCAGCAGCAGGACTCCAGCACAGGCACTGCTGCCCCTGTCCAAGCATTCTGCCAGGGACCTGAGGATTAACCTTCCCCTGCCTACCATAGCCAGTACCTGCACACACCACTGGGGTTCCTGAGGACAGGCTCATGCAACCTGGCTCCAACCCTCCAGTGCCTAAGCATGCTGTTCAGGGGTCTGGCGATTGTCCAGCCTGGTGCATCATCATTGGCACCTAAGCACTACTTCCACGGCCTGAGGTTGGGCCCACCCATCCTGCCACTACCACCATAACAGACACCCACCTGCACATACACTCTGCAGGCCTGGGAACTAGCCCACCTTGCTCATCATAACCAGTACCAACACCAGTTCAGACCACTTCAGAACCAAAGGCTTGTTCTACCACTGCTACTTCCACTGCTCACAGCATACAGGCTGCCCAGGGGACCAAGAACCCAGCCACTGGTGCTGCCCACCATTGTCACTACTGACACCCAAGCAAGTTGCCTGGAAACCCAAGAATCAACCCAGTTGGACCCATTAACGCTGCTGCCAACATACACCACCCTAAGGCCCAGCTACTGGCATGTCCAGCTCACCACTGTCACCACTAGAGCCCAAGGACTGGCTCATCTGACATCCCAGTCTCCAGAAAAACTTTACCATAGTTGCCACTAGCAACCACACCCTAAGACACTGAGGAAATCAAAGGTACCACTGATGCTGTTTACAGCCAAAGAAATCATACAGAGACTACCCTACTGCATGCACCTAGAATCAAAGCCAAAGTGCTCTACCCAACTAACACTATAGATACATATTTAGGAAAAAGACTTCCCCTATGAAAGAAAGTTCAAAAAATTGGAAGAAGCTACTGTTATACCAAATGTATAGATATCAACATAAGGACACAGAAACATGAAAAAAACAAGGAAATATTATACCTCCAAAGAAACATAATAATCTCCAGCAACAGATCCCAGTGAAAAACACATTTATGAATTTCTGGAAAAATAATTCAAAATGATGATATTATAGAAGTTTGGTGAGATATAAGAGAATACAGAAAAAAATACAAAAAATTAGAAGAACAATTCAGGCTCTTTCTCTTTCTCCTGCTCCACCCATATAAGACGTGCCTGCTTCCCCTTTGCCTTCCACCATGATTGTAAGTTTCCTGAGGCCTCTCCAGAAGCAGATGCCTGTATAGCCCACAGAACTAGACAGGGTCGTATCATATTGCCCAGGCTCATCTCAAACTCCTGAATTCAAGCAATCCTCCCACCTCAGCCTCCCAAGTAGGTGGGATTACAGGTGCGCACCACTAGGCCCAGGATTCATGAGACTTGTAACCCAAGATCCAGCAGAACAAACATTAACTTAATAGGACTTAATGAAATAAATAAAGAAAATTTTATTGCGGTTGTTTGGAAAAGCATTGTTGTTGTTTTAATGTCTTATTTTCTTAGTGTAGCATCTGGACACATGCAGGAACTGGAGGAGGTTGCCACCCTCAACCAAAGGGCCCTGTGCAAGGCCCAGTGCTGTAATGGCTTCAGGTCTGACGCAGTGCAGTCCCAGTAGTGGGTGTCAAAGGGGTGTTTCCATCACGATAACACTGAAAAGGAATTCAGAATTCAATCAGGTAAATTTAATAGAGATTGAAATAATTCTAAAAATCAAGCAGACATTCTAGAGTTGAAAATGTAATTGACATGCTGAAGAATGCATCAGAGTATCTTAACATTAGAACTGATCAAGTATGTGATCAAGTATCAAGAAGAATGCGTTAGTGAGCTTGAAGATAGGCTACTAGAAAAAAAGTCAGAGGAAACAAAAGGAAACAGAATAAAAAACAATGAAGCTAACCTATAGGATCTTGAAAATAGCCTCAAAGGGGCAAATCTGAGTTCGAGTTACTGGCCTTAAAGAGGAGGTAGAGAAAGAGATGGGGTAGAAAGTCTATTTGAAGGGATAATATCAAAAAACTTCCCAAACCTAGAGAAAAATATTAACAGTTAACTCCAAGAAGATTATAGAACACCAAGCAGATGTAACCTAAAGAAGACTATCTCAAGGCATCTAACAGTCAAACTTCCAGAAGTCAAGGATAAAGAAAGGATCCTAAAGAACAAGAGAAAAGAAAGAAATAACATACAATGCAGCTTCAATATGCCTGGAAGCAGACTTTTCCGTGGAAACCTTACAGGCCAGAAGAGAGTGCTATGAAATATTTAAAACCCTAAAGGAAAACAAACAAACAAACAACAACAACAATAACAAAAAACTTGTATCCTAGAATAGTATATCTGATGAAAACATCTTTTAAGCCTGAAGGACAAATAAAGACCTTCCCAAATAAATAAAAGCTGAGGAATTTCATCAACACCAAACCTGTCCTATCAAAAAATGCTAAACCAGGAGGTTCCAAGATGGCTGAATAGGAACAGCTCCATTCTACAGCTCCCAGCGTGAGCGATGCAGAAGACAGGTGATTTCCGCATTTCCAACTGAGGTACCGGGTTCATCTCACTGGGGCTTGTTGGACAGTTGTCACAGCCCACAGAGCAGGGTGGGGCATAACCTCACCTGGGAAGTGCAAGGGGTTGGGAAATTCCCTTTCCAAGCCAAGGGAAGCCATGATAGAGGGTACCTGGAAAATCGGGACACTCCCACCCTAATACTGTGCTTTTCCAATGGTCTTAGCAATTGGCACACCAGGAGATTATATCCTGCGCCTGGGTCGGAGGGCCCCACACCCACGCAGCCTCACTCACTGCTAGCACAGCAGTCTGAGATCTAACTGCAAGGTGGCAGCAAGGCTGCAGGAGGGGCGTCCACCATTGCTGAGGCTTGAGTAGGTAAATAAAGCCACCAGAAAGCTCGAACTGAGTGCAGCCCAACACAGCTCAAGGAGGCCTGCCTGCCTCTGTAGACTCCACCTCTGGGGGCAGGGCATAGCTGAACAAAAGGTAGCAGAAACTTCTGCAGACTTAAATGTCCCTGTCTGACAGCTTTGAAGAGAGTAGTGATTCTCCCAGCACAGAGTTTGAGACCTGAGAACTGACAGATTGCCTCCTCAAGTGGGTTCCTGACTCCCGAGTAGCCTAACTGGGAGACACCTCCCAGTAGAGGCCGACTGACAGCTCATACAGCTGGGTGCCCCTCTGAGATGAAGCTTCCCAGAGGAAGGATCAGGCAGCAACATTTGCTGTCCTGCAATATTTGCTGTTCTGCAGCCTCCACTGGTGATACCCAGGCAAACAGGGTCTGGAGTGGACCTCCAGCAAACTGCAACAGACCTGCAGCTGAGAGTCCTGACTGTTAGAAGGAAAACTAACAAACAGAAAGGACATTAACACAAAAACGTCATCTGTACGTCACCATCATCAAAGACCAAAGGTAGATAAAACCACAAAGATGGGGAGAAACCAGAGCAGAAAAACTGAAAATTCTAAAAATCAGAGTGACTCTTCTCCTCCAAAGGAATGCAGCTCCTCGCCAGCAATGGAACAAAGCTGGACAGAGAATGATTTTAGCAAGTTGAGAGAAGAAGGCTTCAGATAATCAGTAATAACAAACTTCTCCGAGCTAAAGGAGAATGTTCAAACCCATTGCAAAGAAGCTAAAAACCTTGAAAAAAGATTAGTTGAATGGCTAACTAGAATAAACAGTATAGAGAAGACCTTAAATGACCTGTTGGAGCTGAAAACCACGGCATGAGAACTATGTGATACATGCACAAGTTTCAGTAGCAAATTCGATCAACTGGAAGAAAGGGTATCAGTGATTGAAGATCAAATGAATGAAATGAAGTGAGAA